TAACTCTCTCCGGCATTACCTTATGAATATTTTCTGTTAATTCACCCCCAAATAAAAAGAATTAATATTTACTAAAATTCACACCAAATTCTTCCAGATCGAGGCCTTTTCCATTGCACTCCGATTGGGTTGGCTTTTGCGAACTCCTCAAATGTGGACGACACGTGTGCGCTATTTCTAAATGTGGTGTCTTCATTTGTGCATCCCCCAATAAACAAGCGAAAAGCATTTAAAAAAAAAAAATTAATTGTAAAAAATTTCTTGTAAGTACTTCGAATACCAGCTCTTACGAAATATGAATAACTCCCTGATTTTTGGTAATTTTTCATTTTGAGGGTTAGAGATGTTGCGAGGCAAGCTAAACAAATTTCGATGTAAAATTGATAATTTCAAAAGAGAGCCAAAAATTTAATAATAAAAAAAAAACCCAAACATACCTTCATTTAAAATTTATAATTTCTTGGGGTGAATTAATATTTGCAATAAGTAACTTTACATTATTTGGGGTGATTTAACAGAAAAGATCCTAAATCTCCCTCGGGAGAAGGGTAGGGTTATTACCCTGCGCCTGAGGTGTCCCCAAAAGCGAAAGCGCCAAGGAGGCTTGAACGACTTTTATACGATTTTCCCGAAATCTTACATTAAACTCCAGCCTTGCGTCACATTCTGTTGCGACACGGGCACGCGGGTAATTATTCCTGACGCTTATTCGGACGAAAAAAAAAGGGTCTCTATATTTGCGGAGAATGGACGGGTCTCTAGGAGGTGATGGTTTTCGAAATCTCGTAAATTCCTCCCTACGCATGTACGAGTGGGTGGGGCGAAAGTTCGACGAGAAAATCCGACTCAGCACGTACATACAGATAGCATTTTGTGTACTTCGTTCCCGACAGAAAGCGGGAAAATATTAGCGTGTCCGCCAATACAGGACACCCTTCTACAAACGAATCCCGTTTTAGATTCTCTTGTCGGACGATAAAAAATAGGGTCCCTATAATTGTGGCAAACGGACAGGTCCCTAGGGCTCACAAACGGACATTTCTTCTCGTTCCGTGTTTCAAAACACATCGGATGGGGTGTTGAATATGTCGCTGAGCCGAGGTGATGGTTGGCAGCAATTGTCGACTTATCGTCGCCGCAGTCCCTTGGTTTTCGAAATCTCGTAAATTCCTCCCTACGCATGTCCGAGAAGGTGGGGACGAAAGTTCGACGAGAAAACCCAGCTCACCAAGTATACAGATAGCATTTTTATACTTCGTTCCCGACAGAAAGCGGGAATATATTAGCATGCCCGCCAATACAGGACACCCTTCTACAGAGGAATGTCGTTTTAGATTCTTCTGCTACCTACGAGACACCGGGGACAGGTCGCGACAACGGACCGGTGGGAAATGAACCTCCATACAATACAAACAATATACAGCAGAATTACTTACATCTTCATTCCATTCGCATTCAATTTGTAAGAAGGATGTTCCGCTCTAACTTCTTCCGACTAACCCCTATTTTGAGGAAACTATTCCAAGATGAAGCTTTCTGGAGCAATACAATCTTAACTTCTTCAAGTTTAAGGTTAACCGTTATATATCCCTCTTTCTCTTGTAACAACCTTCTTCACTAACCTTGAGTGACTTTTGGCATTGCATAGTGTAAACATTAGTAAAAACAAATATCTATTCAACTAGTCAAATAAAATCTGTACAAAAAATCAAATCCGGTATAAAAAAACAAAAAACAAAAAACAAAAAAAACGCTAAATTTGCGATATCCGATACGCAACACGCATGTGAATTAGTGAAAGATGCAGAAAGCAAAAAAAAAAAAAAATGGTTGAGTAAAATTTAAATATGAGAAAACTGTCAGCAGTCAGCTTAGGCAGGCGGTGCTTCAATCAAAAGAAATCAACAATTGACCGTGCATGAATAGGAAGATCTGGTCGTTCAACGGACTGTCCAGAAAGTATCCAACCGTTTTGAAAGCTTTGACTGTCTATTATTCATGTGTCGTGTAAGAATATCTCTTGTTTAAAACATCACGTTGCACAACTCAGATCTGTCAACATCAGCCATGTTCTGATAGGGACTAATTTGTCTTTCAATTTTTCGCAAATATTTTTTGCTGTTGAAAGAAGGATATTCCATACATTGGTCGAGATTAAGGTGACCGGAAATAGACAGTGGAAACTTATTTTATAAAAGAGGACTTTGCAGAATGTTTTGGAAAGTGAAAGTGGCGTCGAGTGGCGATCATTCTTTTTTTTTTCTTTCTTTCTTTTTTTCTTTCTTCAGTCATTGCCTGATTTCTTAATTTCTTTGAGGAATGTTTTGGAAAGTGGAAATGGCGCTGAGTGGCGATCATTCTTTCTTTCTTTCTTCTTCCTTTGTTTCTGTCATTGATTTCTTTCTTTTACATTTTCTCTTTATTTTCATGTTCGACATTTCTTTGCCTGGTTCTTTTTTTCATTCTTTACTTTTTTTCTACTTTTTCTGGCTAATTTTTACTCTCATTTTCATCTTCAGTTAATTTCTATCTTCGATATATTCTTATAGTTTTCATTTTCAAGTCTTCTTTCTTTCTTTGTTTTTCTTCATTTTTTCTTTTCCTTTCATTTTTCTTTTTCTCTCATTTTTCTTTCTTTCATTCTTTTTCTTTTTTCATTTCATTTTTTCTTTCTTTTTTCTTTATTTCTTTCTACGACTTTTTCAATCAGTGTCTGACCTCTTTCTTCGGCAACCTTCTTAACATGTTTTATTCGATATGTCTTTTCTTTTCTTCTAAAAGTTTCTCATCTCAATCTTTGTGCATGACTCTGGCTTTCTTCGTTCCTTCTCTTACGTTGTTATCTTTTCTTTAAACCTCCATTATTGATCTTTTAAAATAATTAGGCAATCGATTTAATTATCGCCCAAATCCTGTAATGGCTTTTTCATCTCCATCTACCAGTCCAATTAGATGCAAAATACTTCTCAAAAACTTCTCGCTTACGGTGATGTTCCTTACTTAATGGCATTATTTCGATTCCACTTTAAAGAGAAAAGGTTGAAAACCCACCACTTAGAAATCAATACAGTATCCGTGACACACGACAAAATTAAATATAACAATGATAGTGCAGACAGGACGAACTTATAATATTTACCTAGGAAAACAATTTGAGAGGACAACGGCTGTTCTTTGGGAGATTAAAACAATTAGGCAGTGTTAAAATGTTGAGGAATATATAAATTTTTTCTGCCTGATGGTGCTTGCATAATTTAACCTTTTGAGCCCTGACCACCGCATTACCGGTGGTAGAGAAATGCAATGCCCAGCCACCGGTTCAACTGTGTGTAAACACTTGCAACTATTTTTATATCTATCGTGAAACATTACATATCAATGATTTTAGCAACTGTTCAGTAATGGAGGACTCAAAGTGTTAATAAAACATTATTTTATTTCAGATTGGACAAAAATAAAAAAACAAAAATATACTACATTTAATATTTATTAAAAAAATATATATTTGTAATTTTTCATGGGCGAATTTGTTCGTAACAAGATATTTTTATTTATTAAATAAAGACATGTTGGAAAAATCGAGTAATATAAAGTTTAATGCCATTTTCACGCATAAAGCTTTTTTTTAAAATCATTCTAGCAACTTTTACATTGAAGAGGCCTATTTGACTAAGAAAATATACATGATTATAGCTGTGACTCGATATCAAGTAATGCAGTTGCTTGGTATGAGGTCATATAAAAAAAATGAAGAGTGGAAAATGTCATGAAAACTTTTATGACCTTATGTATCTGGTTAGGACCCGGAAAGAAATCTGTATACAACGGAAATCAAAATTGTGTTAGTCCAAAATACAGATTCTGTGATAAATATCCAGAAAGAATTGACCATCTTGTATCAGGTTGCGCGGTATTGGTTCCCGCTGAATATAAAACACGGCACGAAAGATTGTGTCAACATCTGCACTGAAAAATCTTCAACACTTATGGAAAGGAAACTACAAGGAATTGGTTTGAATACCATACAGTACCGGTTACGGAAATAGGACCTGTAACAATTTTATGGGACTTTAAAATCCACACAGACAAAACAATCAAAGCTAATCACCCTTACATCATGATTAGAGACTGCAAAGACAAAATGTGCCGCCTTATTGACATGGCAGTCACTGTAGACTTCAATGTATCTTTGAAGATCTTCAAAAAACAATAAAAATACAAGGGCCTTGAAATCGAAATCTCAAAAATGTGGCACATGAGAGCATCAACAATTCAAGTTGTAGTTTGAGCCCTCGGATTTGTTAGAAAAGATTCCAATAGACACATCGAAGAGATTCTTGGTAATCCATGCCTAAAAGAAATACAAAAGAATGTTCTCACGAGTACAGCTCAAACATACGAAGGATTTTATCTATGTAAAATATGAGTAATTTTTTTTTCAAAATCCTCAGTGGAAAAATGTCATGATGCTATTTCTGACCTGAGGTCTCTGGTCAAGACCCGGAAAGAAATGAGCACACACCAGAAATAAAAGGAAATAATAATAATAATAATAATAATAATTGTTATAGAATGCGGAGACTGTGCTATTATATCAGACTACTGGCCAGAAGAACCCGTTGGCGTAGAATTCTGAAAGTAATGGAATACATTTCTCTATGTTTTTGATATAAGACCAAAAGGGCGCGTATATCCCAGAGCGATGCAAATATTTTTTTAAGATGGAACACGCCTCCCGCATCCAATTTTCTTAGAGAGGCTAGCCAGTACGTGGCGAAATTATAAGCCCAAAAATCGTCGTGTGTTCCCCTAACCATTTTCCTTCCGCTTCCTTATAGAATCGATGCCACCATATCTATCCCTTTCGTTTAATAAAGTGAATATGAAAAAGAAATTGTCCTTTGTTTATAAAGTTCATAATGTGGCGATGGAGTCGGAAGAACTGAAGTCAATGGCGACACGGATGGTAACATAATTATGTAGCTACAACAAAGGACTTACCGCCATATCGCAATAGAAACGCCAGTTCCTGTTCGATCACCGAAGCGAAGGAACATCGAGCCTTTTTCAGTACCTAAATGGGTGATCGCTTCGGAATACCAGGTGCTGTAAGCTTCGGTGTGTGTGGTGTAATGCATAATGGGTCGAAATTGTTAATCGGATAGCTGAGTTCCAATCCCCATTGTGTTCGTTATAATCACTTACGCGCAACTATACATGGAAAGGGTTTGAATCCGCCTCTTCTCCTCCCAGCTATGGGTTAATTAGTGTTATGGGATCCTCCCCTTTTTCATATAAGTGGACTCGACCAAAGTGTTACTTGGACTGCTGCCGTTAAATACCCAGAGTCAGTCAGAATACAGAGAGTGGAGATTGTAAGAAGACTGAGATTGTGACTGAGTTGGAGGTAGAGTAATAGTGTGAGGTAACCGCTTGTAGAAGTCAGTTACAAGCACGCCCGACTCTAAAGAAGTCCTACTTCGAGACTGTATATATCTATATATTATTGCTACTAACCGCGTTCCTGGATTTACTAACAGAATTACCCTTTGTATTATTGTGTAAATACATTTAATTTCTTATTTTTAATTCTTGCGTTTGTCATTCATTGGAGACCGAATTTCATCTCGGAATCCACAACAATTAGACTTGTTTCATTAAATCATTATTATTTTTTTTTAAATTCTTACGATCTAAAAACATTTTCTCGCTTTAAATAACCTGATAAGGTGTTGATAAGCCGTAAAAAATTATCAATCGATCAATGCAGAAAGCATTCAAATTAAAATTCCTGACATACTGTATCGATGAGAAATTCCTGTATGCCGTAGAAAAAGAAAGACGTATTTTGGACTATTGCAAAAGCCACTCAAATATACTGTGAAAGTGTATTATCAGCTACTAATAGTAGCACTACTATTATTAACATTACTACTATTTTTACTACTACTACTAGTAATGCTACTACTACTGATAATAATAACAACAGCACCATTATTACTAATAAGAAAAGGAAATAATTAGCGTTTTCGATTCCGTACGACAATTCAAATCCTGGCAAATCTAATAGAAGCATAAGCAACCGGCTATGCGTCAGACATGGTTATACAATCTGAAAATTTTTATCAATGGAGACACCGACGTTAAACATATTTTCACTGTTCAATTAGTTTAATAATTTTTTGTTCGCGCTAATTGTTACCAGTTTTCCTATTTCTGGTTGTTTAATAAGCGATTTTCAAAAGCCATTACTAATTTGAACTCAATGAGGATGCCTCTCGGTCCTGTTAAAGAAAACACGTGGAATTATTCTTTATTTTTAATAGAAATTCTACATCCTAAACATTTTCTTTGTTAAATAATTTTTCACTTGCAAAACATTTTTTTTCTGTGTATTCTTTTATGTCGAGGAAAAAGATCGATCATTAAAAATTATCTTTGCGCAGAGAAGCAATACAATGAGTTCGTGGAACGCGGAAACTATTTCGAAACGAATCAGAATTGTTGTTTAAAACGAACAAAAATGGAAGAGCTGAATAAAACTTTTTGTAAGCTCAGACATTAGCGTTCTAACTAGTTAGGAAAGACGACTTCCGATCATACGCATGATCTCTTTGAATCAAATGAGTAGAAAATGACAAAGAAATCGTCAGCCTTTCTTCAGTTAAATGTCATAATCAAATACGTGAGCCTTTCTGACCACTTATGTCTACGCATTTTATATCGGCGTGTGGCCGACGGGTTAAAACGTTAGAGCTCCTATTCATTGGACCCGGGTTCAAATCTCACCATTTTCTATTTGTCAAGGAGATGGCTTCTTGATAAGATCACCCTATGGAAATCATCCCACTATACAGAAAACTATACGAGTTTCCCTTAGCCCCATGAGGGAAATTGTGAAGGCAAAACATCTCGGAAGCTATTCATGGTTGTACTCGTACGAAAGTACATGACATCGTGACCGAAAGGTTGAATGTAATGGCCTTGTGCAACTACTGGTCACAGCCGATTATCCACTCTATCTCAGAAACAATAAATAAGGACCACTCTGCTTTCTGTAGAGAACACAGGGTCAGTGGTTTTGGAAGAAACACAAATGTACCTGAACAGACACCTACAACACGGTTTCGCTATCTACACTAGCAAACGGGAATAATCTGAAACGAACATTAAGCCATTTTTACTATGCATACGTATGAAGAATTTGTGTAGTGATATATTATCTATATTATGTGTTATTTACGTGGGTCGACAATAAAATAATGCGTGTTCTTTAGTTAAAACATATTTAATAGAAATTAAACGGAACTTCCGTTCATATGCATGATTTTCTTGAATCAAATGATACAGAAAATTTCAAAGAAATAAATTGCCCCTTCTCCGAAAAATGAAAAGATTAACGAATGTATTTACATACAACACAATCAGCCATCCATACATATATATATATAGAGAGATTATATATAAAAGAATATACATCATTGCACGTGAGTGATAAAATTTGCCGTTAAACGTTGCTAATACACCTTTCATTGTTTTGATTTATTGAATTCAGTTGCCAATAATAAAAAAAATATAACGACACTTAAAAATAAATGGGCCACTTAAAACAATTTTGAGTGTCTTTCCTTCACATTTTTATACCCTGAAGAAGACTCATATGAATCGAAAGCTCGGACACTACCTTCAATTAGGATAGCTTTTGTATCTGCAACAGATTCAGAGTTTGGAAAATACGATGTACAAATTTAATAGACAAAGAATATTTTTTCGATAAAACTTATTTGGAAGAACAACTTCTTAATTATATATATATATATATATATATGAATAAACACAAAGGGAAACGTATTTTAGCCGACGAGGTTCGTCCTCTCAGTGCTTTTATCGAGGCAAATATTAGGCTTTTATTTTGTGACAAGTATTTATATACAAGAGCAAAAATGTAATTGCTTTTACAAAAGATTTTTTTTAGTTAAGTGCTCATGAATAATTATTAGGTAAGTGGAAAAGTCAAGCAAGTTCATGGACGTGAGGTGATACAGTCCAATGCACACACACACAACATATATATGTGTGTGTGTGTGTGTTTGTGTGTGTGTGTGTGTGTGTGTGTGTGTGTGTGTGATATTACTTTCTACGTTTTGATTTATCGGATAAAATTTCAAACAAACAATAACCTAAAACATATATTTAAAAATGAACTACGTAAAACACTTTTGAATTTCTTTTTTTTTCCCTTCCTTTATTTCTCAACCTTAAAGATCAGTCACGTGATGGGACACAACCTTGATTTTGAATATCAATTGCATCTGCAAGAGCCAGTTTTGGGGGAAGGTGATTCGTAATATGAAAAAGACGATGGATAAATTCCATAGGCAGAGAAAGTCTATCCTTTTTTATAAAACTAGTTTAGAAGAAAAATTGCTTATTTAGACTAGATTTAATAATAACGATGGCTGATCTCACGAGTTCGCGTGTGCTTGTTTCCTAAGGCGACCAGTCATTAACAATAGTGTTTGTTCAGCACCCACTGAGTCCATTTGTTGTTTATACTGCAACTATATATGCATAGTTACAGTTTCTTGGAGTGAGCAGTTATAAACGAAGCTTGCAGGCTCAAACTCTCGGTCACGTGTAATTATGATTTAGAGCTAACACAAGAATCGTCGAAGAATTCCGTCTACAAGGCTTGTAGATGGAACTCTTCCTGTTATGGTTTTCGGTCACTTTCATACGGTGCCATTCGCTGGGATCACATCAACATTAAGAAGTCAAGAATTTCTGAAATTGAGGCGAGATTCGAACCCTGGTCTGATGGTCGGAAATTGAACGTTCTATCGTTCCCGATATTTAATAAGACACACAGAAATCATACCAACATGCATACAAATGTTGCAGCATTTAAAACAGTCTCTCTCTCTCTCTCTCTTTCTTTTCTCTCTCTCTTTCTCTCTCTTTCTTTTCTCTCTCTCTTTTCTCTCTCTCTTTCTCTCTCTTTCTTTTCTCTCTCTCTTTCTTTTCTCTCTCTCTTTTCTCTCTCTCTCTCTTTTCTCTCTTTCTTTTCTCTCTCTCTCTCTTTCCTTTTCTCTCTCTCTCTTTCTTTTCTTTCTCTCTCTTTCTTTTCTCTCTCTCTCTTTCTTTTCTCTCTCTCTCTCTGTGAGTCGTGGTATTTCCAACTCTGAATGAATGCATACGTGGTCTGCCTCAATAGTAACTGGACTGGTGTCACAAACTATTTATTGCAATTCCAACCAGCAAACTACATGATTTTTTTTCTACAAGTTAATCTCCCTCAAGTCTATAATACACTTTCCATCCTTATCTGCCGCGCTTCTAAGCACTACTGAAAGGATTCTTCTTCGATATCCCACAGCTGCTATTTTAGCGCCATTTTGATGACTTCAACACCTTCAAATCTGGTCTCGTTGATGATCATCATGAACTTGGGGAAACGAAAACTTGCACCCGGAGCAAGATCAGGTGAATAGGGAGGTTGTTCCAGTACGGTGATGTTCTTCTCGACCAGAAACTGTCGGATGATCAGGTCGTTGTGAGCAGGTGCATTTATCGCAGTGAAACAGCCACGAGATCTCCTACCACTACTCTCGTCCCTTCTCGCATATTTCGCGAAGGAAACGCTACCGGATTTCTTTGTTGACTTGCTGATTAAACGAGAGAGTTACTCTGAAGGGGAAACCATGTAGTCTGTTGTTTGAAATTGAAATTGAATAATTGTTTAAGCACCATTACTTTTCAGATATACCTCGTACATACCCGCATCTTATTGGCTGCTTTCCTGTACAGGTGAGTGGTGTCTCTCTCACTTCAACATCATCATTGGAGATCTTCTGTCTCTTAGGTACCTACTTCATATTCAAAACAGAAGCAACTATGTGTAACTCCAGAAAAAAAAAACTTCTGTAGAAACCTCTCCGTGATGTTTAAAGGTCTTGGTCAGCATTCTGGGAAGTCAAACAAAGTGTCTGCACTTAATTGCAAACAATACCACGTCTTGTAAGGGTTTTCGCAAAGCTTTGAAATAATGTAAATTATATTCACTGTATTGAGAATCACAGGAACTTTCCACTTATCGTCATTCACAGCAGCAAC